ACAGGATAAAAATAAATAATAAAATAAGAAGAAGACAAAAATAAAAAAAAAGATTAAAATGTAAGAAAATGTCATATAACATAATATCTATGAATATTTCGTTAAAATGTTAAGAGATATTAAAAGTATAAAATGTATATCTATATTTTTACTTTAAATTATTGCTCGTCTTTATGAATATATATCTGATATTAATGTATTATTGAATTTATCGTAATTTCATTTTGTTTTATCGTAATTTAGTTTCGTTTAATTCCTTTATGTACGATTCTTAAACGTCACTTCAAATTTGTAATATAATTTGCTATTGTAATGAATCAGTACATGAATATAAGTACATGTATCTATGTCAAGATAAAATAAATATTACATATCTTGTCTCGCCTTCTATTGAATTCCCTAAGAGAAGTAATACCATCGTTTTGTATAATTTCCTATATTTTCGATATCTTTTAATAAAGCACTATAGACTTCTTCTTATGTGACATTTTAATCTTATTGACATTTATTCTTATCTGTAGAATGATATAACCTAATTAATAAAGTTAATATGGAAAAATCTGAGGTGCATAATATAGCATTTATTGTTAGCTTTGAGAAAATGATTAATAGGAAATTTTTGAGAATTAGAAAAAATAAATAAATATCTATGATGTAAAATATTACATAGAAATATTATATACGATTTTATGGTTTCATGATGTTTTACAGTAGACGGTACATTTAAAATAAATGAATATATATATATATATATATTTCGAAACATAATTTTCAATGGATATTTGAAACTTTGTTTTCAATGATTGACACGTTCATTGTGTATATTTCGGATCCGAGACAGCACGTACATACTTGTATGATATATGTATATATTATATCGAATATAAGTCGAAAGTTGAAAGTTATTAAATTTTGAGGAAGAATTTTTTTAATATTTCATAGACAACGTATGATGTATTAAAAATAAAAAATAAACTATAGATATTAATAATAAATATTTAATAATATATAATGATAAAATATATAATAATATTTAATAATATGATAATAATAAACATTTAAATTATTTATCATTAAATGATATTATAATGTACGAATCTAATTAGTAGTGATGATAAATAATGAACATATATAACTGTTTGTTTTGATATTATAAAACAGTTTCAAAATAGATGAATAGTAATTTTATTAGAACTATATTAAATCTATAATAAATCTGAATACATTTTACTTTACTAAATTGAGAAATAATAATTCTTTTACTAAAGTAAGTTTTACTAAATTATCTGATTTTTTTTATTTTTATTGCTATATAAAATAAAAGAATGATTAAATAAAGCAAAATCTGCATTTCTTGAAACGAATCTCAATTATGTATTTTCAAGATTCCTTGTATTATGTAAGATTCCTTATTTTCAATCTTAACATTGAAGATATTTCTTTTAAATATCTTCAATACTTGCAAACCAATTAAATCACTTGCTTAAATTAACATATAACATTCAAATATATATTATGAAAAATAAGTTTTTATTTATTGATTTGCAATTATTGTCTTAATTTAATTCTTAATTTCGTTTATTTCATTTCTATTTTCATTTTATTTCTCTCCATTATTTTTCATATTACTATTTATATATATATATAGTTTTACTATGCATAACTTTGTAAAACAATATAAATATAGTGTCTCAAATATTTCTATAAAAAAGATCACTAATATATTTAATGAATAAAAATAAAAAAAAATGTTGCATAAAAAAATATTTTTTACAAAAATTATTTTTACAAAAATATATTTTATACAAAAATTATAAAATACAAAATACAATGATAATTCGATTTGTTTTCTGATGTGGGATAAGAATATCATTGTCAATACGTTTATGTAAAGATTATATTTACTTCCTTAAATCACTATATTTAATGCAATTTGTAATGAAACTGTATCTATATAATAATGAAAAAAATTCATTTATATATATTATATAATATTAAGCAAGAAATTAATTCATTATTATTTTCTTTTTGTTTTGTAAAATATTCTAATGTAATTAATATATATATATTATATATTATATATAATAATAGTTAATATTTTTTTATAACATTTTAATACAATAATGTTTTTGTATTTGTTTTTTTTTTTACTCATAGAATATAGATAGTAAATTTTAAAACTTTTTACTTTACTTCAAAAAGAATTAAAAAAAAAAACCTTATTAATAAAATTTGAAGCAACATAAATGCTTTTAAAAAGTACGATTTAAAAATGAAAATTTTAAGTTTATTATTCTGCATATTCCTCTTAATATTTAATTATATTAATATTTAAAAATATTTTTATATTTTAATTTCCTAAAATAATATTTACATGGACTATATAAACTTAATGGACTAATAAAGTTAGTTTAATTTCAATATATTTTTAAAATAAATGTCAATTTCTTTCAATGTTCAAAAACATTAAACGAAGAAGTTCAAAGACACCGTTGAATCTCCTGCGATTGTTGGAATCTCGTCTGCCGATGCTATGACAAGTATGCATATTTTAGAAATATTTGAAAGAAAAGTTGGCCTTAAGAAAGTGTTACATTGTATAAAGTATAAATGCATGACAAACGTTCGGCGGTTACTCGTATTGCGTACAAATATTCGACATTGTAAATTTTATTATTTATTTTTCAATTATTTTTAAAATTATTTTTTACAATTACTAAATTTTATTTGTTTATTTGTTTCATGTTTAAAAAATCAAATTATACTTATTCTTGCAAATCGATTAAGATTAAATAAAACTAGGGATGAATGAAAATTTATTTTTTAGATTTATAAAATTTGAATTTGAAATTTTATAAGATTTCGAAATTTTTAAAATTTTCGAAATTTAGAATATTTTTATTTTATTATTTTTTTTTATTCAAAATCTTTCTATTTAATAAATCTATATAATAAATTCATCTCTTTAATAAATTTTAATTTCTGAAATTCTACAAATTAAAGAAAAAAATTATAATAAATAAAATAAATACATATATTATAAATATATATTATAAATATAATATAAATGAATAGTATTAATAGTTATTCTTTTTGTAAAGAAACTTTCTAAGTAAAAATTAAATTAATATTTTTTATTTTTTTTCTTTTCTCAAATTTTGATAATTTCGAATCACAAAATTAGCAAAAAATTTTGATGTTCGAAAAATTGAAAAGTTTTTTAAGTTTCGAATAATCTCAGTTTTGACTTTTCTAATATTTCGATATTAAATATAATATAATATTAATATAACATATTTTATTAAAAATTACCGAATTATTTTAATCTTGTTTAAACTTGTAAAATATTACTAAATATTAACAATAAATATTTTAAAAATTATTTAATTTATTCTTGTATATATGTTGGAAAGTCATAGCATTTAATTTATAAGATTTTAATTATAGATTTTTATAATAAAATTCTGGATTTACAGTTGATAAATTGAAAATAATTAATATCAAATAACGATAACTAAGTTAGATTTAAGATTTTCTTTAAATCTACAAATGAATAAAAATTCTAAAAGTTAAATTTACAAGAAATTTATAAGAAATTTATTGATAAAATAAAATCTATAAATGGAATATATAAAAATTTTTAAATCTTAAAAATTCTTCAAAATTAAAAAATAACAATTTTTAAAATATAGAAACTTTTTATTATTTTCGTAATCTGAAAGACTTAAATCCAAAAGAATAATTAGCATATAAAAATTTTGTGACAATATTTCTTATTTTTATTTATTTTTATTAATAACAAGCTATTTAAATTTTGTATTCAATAAAACTTTATTTTAATTGATATGATTTCATTAACTTATTAAGATTATACTTTTATATAGAAAAAAAAATGAAATAAAATATAAAAATAAAAATTAAAAATAACTTTTATAAATAAAAATTAAATAAATATTGTTTATTGATTGATTTTGAATCTAAGTTTGAAAAATCTTAAAAATCAGAATCCTAAAATTCATTATTATAATTAAAATTTTAATTCTTAACATTTTAAGAAAAAAAATTTTCGAGAATTTTGAAATCTCAAAAAATCTCAGATAAAATAAAATAAAGTAAAATAATTTTAATGTTTACAAAAATCAATAAATTTTCTCAAAACTATCAATAAATTTATTTTTAATTTATTTTTAAAAACAAAATTAACAATTCACCGTCGATATCGGGTCAATTGTAATTTTAATTTGTAAATAAATTATAAATATATATTTTTCAAATATATTTATACAATTTATTTAGAGATAATAAGATCTTAAACTTTATTTCATAATGTTTGAATTTATAATATAATATTTTATAATATTAAAAGTGGATTGAAAATGACCCGGCACCGTCGGATTATTAAAACAACATGGTTAACTAATCTCGCGTGATTTTACGTGAATAAATTTGCAAGCAATTACCAGTGTACGACCGATGATCGTAGTGCTTATAAAATCAATGATATTCCTTCGCAGTGTTCGAATCGAATCATCCATGTATATATCGTATCTCGATCCATGATAACGGCATCCGAATTTCGTCTCGAAATAAAAAAGACAATTTATCTTAATCTTGATCTTTGAAGATCGGAGAAATGGACGGAGAGTCAAACGCATCGCCATGGAACGAAAGGATTCGAGAATTGCTTTAATAAGGCCCTGGGAGTCTGCTGACACGGCGTAGGAATGCGACAAAAGCGGTAATCGAGTAAGTGGCAGAGAAAGGAGAAGGGAGGCGAGAGAAAGATCTTGGAAACGACGAAAATCATAAAGAAGAACGAAACTGACGGGTGGTAAAGAAGTGAAGGTCGACCTACCTTACCTCGAGGTGTACACTGTTTAATGGGGGTAGAGAGATACACGGTCATTGAGAATCTCGACACAATGCTGCGGTACTTTCTTGGAGCGTAGAGTCCCTCTGTGAAGCTCAAGAAGAAGAAGAAGAAGAAGAAGGAGAAGAAGAAGAAGAAGAAGAAAAAGAAAAAGAAGAAGGCGACGGTGTGGCGAGCAACGCGCGGAGCAACGGGGAAGCCTTTTTGAGGAGAGAAGGAGAGGCGAGTAACAAGGTAGAACGTTGTTGCGACGACAACGACGACAACGAAAAGGACGAAAAGAAAGGATCAATCGAACGCGGCAGAAGGGAAAGGGAGAATCTTCTACGTAAAAGGAAGAGAGACAAGGAGGCTGCTCGTGGCAAAGAAGCCGAAGAAACGGAAAGATTCGAGAGAGAAGATAAGCTGCGGCGATCAAACCGAATCGAACGAGGAGAAAGCTCTGAAAAGAGCTCTCATCTTCTCCCTTCTCGTCCACTCTCTGCTCTATCGATCTCTGTCCCTTCGGTTCTATCTCCGTTTGCCGCGGTGCACCTGTCTTCGTTCGCCTCGCGCACGCCCCGCCCCGACCAATGGAGCGTCGAGGGGCCCGGTGACGTCATCGCGCAGCGCAGTAGAAGGGCCTGAAGTGGTGGGGAGCAGGATTGTCCACCACCACGTCTCGGAGGCCGTGAGAGCCCCACGGGGGCCAGCAGCTAGCTGGAATCAGCGGCAGCGGCCCGGCCGGCCGTTGGCCGGGTTGGTGGGGGCAGGAAGAGGGGCACCCTGGTGCCCAGGAGACCAGGGCGAAGGAAGAACGCAGGGTACTCACCGAAACCCATCCCGCATTTCCCACCACCGGCTCGTCCGGAAAACGTGCGCCACAGAGCTTCCGGACTGGTGCTCGGATATCGAGTTCGGTCAAGTGAGTCGGATCAATTCGGGTGTACACATCCGCGCAAAGCGGTTGATAATAATCGTAATACTCGATTTCACACAGTTCCACGCCGTTATTATTGTCGCCGTTACTATCGTTATCGATCGGATCGATTGCGCGCGGTTTTGATCTTGGAAAACGCGGTCGGACGATTTTCGACGAAATATTATTAGTATTGGGTGATGGTTCCCATAGGTTTGTAACATATGATGAAAACGATTCAGAAAGATAAACAATAGAGAAACGCTCTATTTTCGATCGTGCGAGACTTATTGAAACTTATACGGGTATTATTATTGTCGATAACGAAATTGCGGATACGCGAAAAAGAAGGAAAGGATAGAAAGAGAAAAGAAAACGGAACAGTGAGAGAGAATCTCCCTCCAAAGGAGACTCTCGTTAAAAGTGACAAACGGTTTCGGTGTCGGATCAATTTTACTATCATTCGATTAGAAATTTTTCGGATTGTTTTGGTTCTCGCGGGTGGTGATTAGACGTAGCTACGACGGTCACAACGGTGATAAGAGTGCGTGCAGGGAGGGTGTGTGATGCCCTGGTTATGGTTAAGCGTGAGTGAGGTCAGTGGCAAGAGGAGGAAAAGAAGGACCGGCAGCTCCTCGTCAAACCTGTCGTTTTCACCGTCATTGTTTAGGTCTTCGTTGTTCAGTTGTGGAGGAGGAGGATCGCCGGCGGCGGTGGTGGTGGCGAGAACTCGGTGGTACCCATCCAAGTGTTCGTGAAAGAGGTGCACGAGGAACCAGTGACCGAACAGGGTCGTCTTCGAGGCAGAGCCACGTGATTATGGTGCACCATCATCATCGTCGTCGCGGCCTTCAGGCGAGCCATCATTGCGCGGTTAGGAGGCGAGGCGCGACACCCTCGCTGCTCCAGGTGTTCCTGTTGATACTCGGCCTCTGGCTACCGGTACTGGACAACGGTGCCCTCGTCCTGGCTTGTGGACCAGGCAGGGGTGGCGGACGACGTCCAGGTTTGAGGAAACTTACACCTTTGGTGTTCAAGCAACATGTGCCCAATGTTAGCGAGAACACGTTGCCGGCTAGCGGGCTCAGCGAGGGACGTGTTTCCAGGCACGATTCCAGGTTCAGAGATCTCGTGCCTAACTACAACGCCGATATCATCTTCAAGGACGAGGAGGGTACAGGAGCGGATCGACTGATGACACAGGTGAACGAACGTCCAAACATTGATTAATATGCTTGTTTGTTACGCGTGCTTCTTGTAGTTTTACGTTTACAGTTTCGAAGAGTTACACCTTTTGCTCGAGTATACTGTTACGCGTTTGAAAGGCGAAGCTCATGAGACGCGGTGAATAACCGTATTCTCACGCGTTCTGACGGTTAATCGGTACCGTCTATGCTTCATCGTGGAGCTTAGAGAGCTTCTTTCCAGAATCGATTGCGATTGTACGAATACATACGTCGTTCGTTGTTGAATTATCTGTGACAAATATTGATATCAGCGAGTGTTCTCGAGAAAATAATTAAAGTACCATGTAGAATATTCTGTTTTCATGGCTGAAATCTGTTAGAAAAATATTTTTTATTTTTATACTTATATATCATTATAGAACAATATTCGAAATTAATGATCGAAGTTGTTCTGTTATTACAATACAATAATGAAATGACATCAATTTAAAATTTGAAACTTGTAGATTACAATTAGTTTTTTTTTAATTTTTACAAGGTTTTTTATTATAAAATAAATTCTTAAATTTTATTGAAAGGAATCCTGAATTAACATTGAACTTTACGATTTTCAATATGAATTTCGTTAAAGTTAAACAACTTAAATTTCGTTGTATTAAAAGATATCCGTACAATTTGCCTTCGTTCTAAAAGATAAAAATAACTATAATGTTGATTTACGATTGTTAAAGGATAATCATCAACAATTTAATAATAATAGGTGCATATTAATATACATTACAAAAATTTAAAAAAAGTTGAGAAAAATATTTTGTTGTTAAAATAAGTTTTCAAAAATATTAGAAATTAATTATTATGAATAGTATTTAATACATGTAACATATATAATTTAGTATATATTAAATAATAATTCATTAAAAATTTGAAAAAAATTAAAAAGAATATTTTTGAAAATTTCTAAAATTGATTTACTTGAAAATATAATTAAATTAATGCATACTTAATTAAATAAAAGTTTAACAAAGAGCCTCTCATCATTCCTGAAAGATTATCTATTTTTTCATTTTTACTTGATTCTTATCACTTTTAATTTAAGATTCACACAATATTCAGAATAAATGTTCAATTATCGTTCTCTTCATATATTAAATAATCGATTAATATTTTAAAAATTAGAAAACGCACAAAAATCAAATTATTATATTTCTAAATTAAACTTCAGTTTTTTTTAAAATAGGAAAAATATTTGCTGAAATTATTCAAATAAACAATATAATTTATTTATTTTCGTTATCTATTTATCTATTTTCGAAAGTGTTAGAAAATGGTATTCCACGATTAATAAAATAAAAATAAAAATTTTTATTTAAATAATTTTATATAAAATTTAATGAAATAAAAATTTGTATTATGATATAAGAATTTACTGGATATTAAGGATATCAAATTTTTATATAAAATTAAAAATAGATAAATAAAATATCGATATAATGTCAATATAACGTTCAATATAATAATACTGATAAATGTAACAAAGTTCTTACATTTCGATTAATATTTTTTTCATTTTTCCACAAAGAACTTGATAACATTTATTTTACTCGATGTAAAATAAATGTTATCAAATTGTTCATTAATATTAAATTGAACCGACCGTCTATTATATTTCTATCTGATGCACCATGGATTCGATCTTGTCAAGTTAAGCGTGCATTACTGTATTTCACGATTATCTCTTGCTCAACGAAAGAAACGAACCGCAAATCCCGGTGATAACTCGATAACCGACTCGAGGGATTCGTCATTTCTCGTTGAGGGTGTATTCGCCGTAGTGATCGCCGATAATATGTGTCGTGTGTCAGGCCACGATAAAGATTGTCGTCCTTGAAGGAGCCCGTCGGTGAATCATCGCGACGAGCTATTTCAGCTTTGGTATCGTCGATTCCCATCGATCTGCCGATTTCGTTGCGCGTTTTGACGACTAAGATCAGTGGCGCTTCTTTTAAACTCTCATAGTTTCTCCATGTACTGACTCATATTAATATTTAGACAACATGTTGTGTGAGAAATTACTCCTATCCTATATATTTATATAATTTATTATTTTATAGTGTTATGGTATTATTTTATAATAGTTTTATCAAGTTGGTTGTTTTTTTTTACTATATTGAAATATAATTAATACAAATATAATTTTTTTTATTTAATGCATAATAAGCAATAAATTAAATAACGGCGGAAATAAACATCGCAATGTTCGAATAGTGAATAGATTACCAGCGATTAATCAATACAATAAATTAGATACATTCAATGAAATGTTTGAATATTTTTGCGACGTTTTTTGCCATTAATTAATTTAATGTCCAAGACTATATGCATTAAATAAATGAAATTTATGTTTTTATTACATACATAATGAGTGTTTTAATATAAAAAAATACGTATTTGGATATCATTGTATGCAAGAAATTATTGTTCCATATATTGCCTTGTAATAATATTGTTGATAAACTGCGGATTTTTATGTAAATATATATATTTTTTTCTCATATTAATTTTACTTGCATTTAAATATTATATTTAATATATATATATAATTAATGTATTATAAATAAATTAATGAATATTATATTTAATAATATATTTATAATACGTTTAATCATATATTATATTTTATAATGTTGGAAACCAAACAAATTCTGAATTCTGTAGAAGTTCACTATGATTATATTACATGTTTTGTAATAGATAATAATAATTTAAATAATAAAAATTTATCAAAAAGCCATGAAAAAATTTTTATATATGTTATTTTTGTAAAGTTATTTTATGATAAGTAAATATACATAATAAAATTATTGATATTTTGTTTGGCATATAAATATTACATAGTTTGGCATATATAATAAACAAATAATTTTAAATAATATAAATAAATGACATTTTATACATATTAGTTTAATATTTAAATAATTTTATTTATCTATATAAAAATCTGCTTCAATCTGCTATCGAATTGGTTGTTTTTTAATTTACTAAAACAAAAATTTTATCAAAAATATAAATTCAATTTTTTTCAAGTATTGCATAGATTACAATCCAAATATGATTCGATGTTTTCTTTCTCTTTCTTTCTCTTATTAATAAAATTATTAAATGTTGTTTCTTTTAGATCAAGATTATTTCAATTGTAATTTTGGTATATCACGATACTATTTATTTTTTCCTCTGAATTTTAATTTTTTGTATTCGTAAGAGCAAAATTTGTCGATTAATTAGTTATAATAGTTATAGAGATTGGAAATTTGAAAGTTGATTTTGATTTGATTAATATTTTATTTATTTAATGCAAAATAAGTGATAAATTAAATAATAGTGAAATCATAATTATTAATAACGCAATGTTTGGCAGATTATATGAATTTTATATTAATAAATATTGTATGCTAGTAAATAAAATCAATTGAATAAATAGAAATTTATTACATCTAATATATGGAATATTTTTATTGAATTTCGCCTTTCACTAATTATGTCCAAGACTATAATAATTTATTATTAGTTTATTAAAGATGTTAGAAGTTTCAATTTTTTTCTTTTAGAATATGTATATTTTTTATATGTATATGTATATTATTAATCTTTTAATTCTTATCATTATTATATTTTATCAATTACAAGTTTTCTTCCATAGTCATGTATGGTAAATTTTTTTTTTGAAAATGAACATGTAAATATTCTCAATAAAATGTGTGAATTAATTTTACAAAATGATAATTTTTCTTAACTTTTTCATTCAATTTTATATATAGCAAAAAATATTATTTGTTAAAAGAAAATTAAATTATTAGGTTATTAATTAAATTATTAAATTAAAAAATTTATAAAATCAAAATAATTAATGTTAGTGATTTATAATATCTCAAAAAATTTTTTTCTAAATTTAAATTTGAACAATTTAAATGTTATGATAACTTTTGTTCATTATAAAAATCATGAATAGCAAACAAGAATTTTGTCTGAACGTTTTCCTTCATTCTAATAGGAAAATTTCGTTCGTTTCCTAGAGAATTTTAGAAAGAAGAAGTGCAGTCAGTGACCTTTACGTTTCGATTCCGATAATAGTTAGCTGATTCACGCAAGAATAGTTTACGCGTTTCACTTTGAGAAATTTGGTTATTCAAAGGAATGATATATGGCAGCTTGGTTCAGATCATTGGGAGAGTATAATGCCCCTTGAGAACGTAACAATGGATTTCTCGAACAAATATCATTGCTCAAAAATCGGAGATCGAGTGTTGATTACGTTTGTTTTATCGTTAAAAGATTATATATTTTTTTTTTTGGAATTAATTGATTGTGATAAGACAATAAATATGAGTGATCTTCTAATTTCATTATGCAACATTACATTTGTTTTGAAATAATTTTATATTTTTTCATTGGTAAAATGATTGATTAAAAGTTAAATGAAGCGCTGATTAATTTTGATTACATTTATAAATGGTTTAGAGTTTATTTTAAATATATATTAAGAAGTTTTATGTGAGATTTGTTATCTAAAATTATTCATAAAAGAAGGGATTTCTTTGAACAAAGATATAAATTATTAATTCGTTTTTTTTTTATCGTTTTGAAAACAGCTATTCAGATTTTAATCATATTGATTTTAATAAAAAGATAGTACATTATTTGAGTATTACTTTATATAAATAATGTATTAATAGGAGGGATTAATGACGGATTATTTTTTGAAAAATAAAAAAATAATTCTTTGTTTTGCAATAAAAAACAATTATAGACAAAAATTTTTCTGAAGAAAAAAGAAATACGGAATAATAAATCGAATAAATTACATTCTAATTTTTTTTTTAATTTGATAAAAAAAGAATCCTATAAATTAATTTATATAATATGACGATTTAATTTATATAATATAATATGACGATTTTAAATATATATGATTAATTAATAAATGATTAATTAAATTGAATTTATTTAATTAAAAAAAAT